TAAACTATTGAATTCCCTTCAGCAATATTTGTACCCTTGTGCGTTTGGTTTCTCAAATTAAATAAGTTTACTGACCAGAATATTTGCAGAAATAGTGAAATTTTAAAGACTATTAACAGAAATTGAATTTGAAACACATACATATGAGTACAGTAGTGCCCAAGCATCTGTCAAATCAAGACTGATAGATAAAATAAGAAAATGAGTGATGCATAATAAGGATAAGACTCACACTCTCCATCAACATCACTTCTAATTATCCCCCACCTGCTTGTTTCCTATCTTGGGCCTGGGCCTTACTCAGCCCCTATGCCTCACATTAGTTTCTTCACTTCTGTCACTAACCCCTGAAATGTGAGTTTTTCTAATGTACTTAAATGCTACTATGTTGAAGGTTTCAACATTGAAAAAGTACATAGGGAGTTAATTTTTCCATTGCAGTTTTTCCCCCTGTAGCTGAGGATTAATATAGGTCTCATGCCAGAGATTTAGTCTGCAAATACTCTGTGCCTTGCTCTTAGTCTGAGGGCCCTGTCTGAATCTCTGATTCATTGTTGGTTTGTTTTGGTTTTTAAATAGTTACAAAAGTTTAGATGCAGTCTTTGGGTTATTTTTCTTGACAACCTGAAGCCAGAAACAAACTCAACTGTTTTTGGAGTGAAAGTTTGTGAGCAATTTGATATTTGCAGGTTCCTTCATTCGTCCCTTCCAACCCGCTTCCCCATCTATACACTTACTTGTTAACCGTCAGGCACAACTGAAAACTTTTTATGGATTGTCTGGATGCGTGGGTGCAGAGTAGGATGTGATTTTTATTTTTGTTCTGTATTTTTTATGCCTAAATCCTGGGAGAGGTTCTCTTCTGCTTTGCATTTTGAAATTAAACTACTGCTTGAGTCAAATTAATAATGAAAGGTAGTTGAAGATCTATTTTAGAGTAATCTATTAGAGAACCAAAATGCAGGACAATGTAGCACGTTAAAGACTAACACGGCTACATCTCTACCACTATTAGAGAACATCTATTTGTATTTATTTCCCCAATATGAAGGAAACTGTTAAAATTAATAATAGAAAATCATATCAAGAGCTCTCTTTCATACTTTAAGATTCATGGTCCTAACAAGCTACGTATATTGTCATTATTGAGCACCTATACTATGCCCTGTTAATTATTTTTTAATGTAAAAATTCTTGTGACTGAAGCTAAAGTGAATTGTTTTGGGTTTAGTACACATTGCTGCTACTTCTATGGTGGCCTTGAAAACATACTTGTTAAAACATTTGTGTTTTATAGACTAGATTAAAACAAGTGTCTGTATTGCAAAAGGAAAGTGGCAACATTATGGCCAGTGATATAACTACCTTGAGGAATTCAGGAAGAAACACAACGTTTTCTCAAAGAATTTTTCTTGGCACCTTGGAATAGTTGGTCTCTGCAGGTCTTTTGCTTTTAATAAATTAGCTTAGTGAACACACCTGATAACATAACATTTGTTGTTTTCAAAGAGGGTTTGGAAGAGATACAGATACACTGAGTCCAGATCCTTAGCCCCCATTATGCTGTGCCCCCCATTATGCTGTGCAGTTAGGCATAGATTGTGGGGACGAAGTTGGAAGAAGTGCAATGCCCAGGAGGCGATGGGTGAGAATACAGGGTTAAGAAAGGACAGAAAGAGGAGTGAAACAGAGGTCACGAAAGGCTGGACAAGTGAGGTCTGATTGACAGACATAAGTGATAGGGTTGGGATGGGTCCAGGAGGCAATAGGAAGAGCTGAATGGAAGAGATGAATGTCCAAAAGAGATGGTATTCCTAGAGTTACGTCACCAGGCGAGATGCCATCAAAATGGATTAGGTTATCCCTCTCTATCAATCAATCTCAATTTGACAGCATCACAGACACTGTAATATTACCATCATGAATGTTTGCACAAGAAACCTGCTGCTAAGAGTTAAGCATATCCAACCAGAAAACAAAACCTTTGACCTGCATTTCCAAACAAAAGTAACAGCTTGAGTTCTGAACAAACTTTACAGAATGCAAGGTCTGCACATAAATTATTCTGTGACTAATTGTAATTAGCAAATAAAGTTGCAAAAATCAAAGGGGCTCATAGGCAATTTGCAAACAGGAAAAAAAAAAGCTCCATCTGTGTATTAAATTAATTGCTACAAGTTATTCACTCAGCTCTACTAGCCACTGAAGTGGAATTGCATTGGTCAAGCTCAATTCTGTATACCAACATTTTATTGTTTAATATTTTCAGAAACATACAGGGCCGGCTTTAGGCCGATTTGCCCGATTCCCCCAGATTGGGCTCCATGCTTAAAAGGGCCCTGTGCCCTAAAGCCAGAGGGCCCCGTGCCCTAAACCCAGAAGTGTGCTGGCGTGCCGGGCGCACTGCGGGAGGGGGCGTTGGCCCCGGAGGAGGAGTGCAGCGGATTCTGTGCACTGCAGGAGGGGGAGTCGGCCCCTGGGTTTGGCTGGAAGGCAGGACTCTGCCCTGTAGGTGGGGATTTAAAGGGGCTATGACTTGTTCCTTTGTGTGCTGGGTTTTTTTTGGTCAACAAAAAAAATCCCGGCTGCTTTCGAATTGGACCCCCACACTTCCTATAGCCGGCCCTGGAAACATGGGAGAAGTCTAAATAATTACTTATTGAAAAGGGTGATAATTTAAATTGAGTTGGGCTATTCAAAAAGGCTCCTTATATTCTGACACATTTAACAGACTGAAATATAGATAACAAATTTAATAATCTTAATGAAATAAAATATTTGTGGAAAATCCTCCAACCTCTAGTCAGCAATTTGAAAGTACTTTCCTTCTAATTGCATGAAAAGTTGGGGTCGCATTTTGTGTTATCTTTAAATAAAAGTGATTGTTAGAGCTTAGATGGCCTGATCAATTTTACTGAATGAGAGTAGAAACAGTATTATGATATTTTTTCAGGTTTATTAAAAAAGAAGTCATTTTCCCACTGTGGACCCAACCCAGCAATGAGATTGGTGGGTAGACTCCTGCTCTGCACCAATGTGAATTTGAACAAGTGTCTTCCCAGAGCAGTATCAAGACAAAACTCCATAACTTTGTAACATTTCTCTCAATGCCTGATAACGCTTTTCTGGTATTAAATTAGATGTCTGCTAGAAATCATGGAAAAAGCATAGAAGAGAAGTTTCCTTCTAAGGCTTAGGCCTGATGTTGAGTCAGTAGTAATCATGTTGAAATCAATTCTGATTAGACTGCCTTCTTACACTGTTAAGCTGTGTGCCCCAGCCATGTTTGTTTATCTTTTTGTAAATTATAAATTCACACTGCAGCCTGCACACAGAGTTTTAAAACATATTTTGGTCCCTTTCATACTGGCTGGCTAAAAAACATTAGCAGTATAACAGAGTTTAATCTGTCTCAGGAGATAGCTGTGTTAGTCTGTAACTATAAAAGTAAGGAGTAGTCCTGTGGCACCTTAGAGACTAACAAAAAGTACATATAGTATCATGAGCTTTCATGGACAAAACTCACTTCTTCAGATGAGCTGCTGTGCAGTTTATATGGTTACTTTACTCGGTTGCCATGGACAGTTCATGAAACGGTGATGCCTGTGCCTTTCTGTTGCAAAAGAGAAATTTCTGCATTGGAAAATGATAGAACCTCAAGATGGCAGTCTCTTATCTGATATTTTGTAAAATTATTCATCTCATATTTAATATTGTTGCTGTTCACACTTCACAATTAAATGTGCTGATTAGTATATATTTATATATATATATATATTATAATGGTTAATGATTAGATGTATACTAAATACTAATGTATTATGGAAACCTTAACTGAGAGAGAGAATCAATGCATTACCTACATGTATTTATTTAATTTCAAATTCTGTGGTTAACATCATGAAACATCATATGCGTATTAAATATATATTTGAAAATTGAGATAGAAAATGTTGTTGGTATCTGAAATTGAGAGTTGAAAGATTTTTCTAGAAAATTAAGCAAATGCCAGTCTTATTGTTGTTATTATTAAAGTTAAATAAGTTCAGTTACCAAATAGCTGTATGATTCATATATTATACATAGTCCAACCATCAGGAAACCTACTATTTTACTCACTCAAGGTGAAATCCTGCCTCCATGGAAGTCTATGGCAAACCTCTTATATAGTTCTGTGGGACTAGTATATAGAACTATTCACATCCTTAAAGTTAAGCATGCGCATAAGTGTTTGCAAGATTGGAGCCTTAATCGTAGAAAAACTTAATCTTACAGTGACTGTTTTAGGTGAAGTCAAAGATCTACAAAATATGGGCCACTGTTTCTGAGACTAATGTATTGTGAAAAATCTTATTTTAATGAAAAGTGAAACCTCAATGAATAGTTCTCTCTAGAAATGTCAAAATCTCTAACTCCTTACCTTCTAAAATTCCAGTTAAACAAGGGTTAGAAATAGAGGCAGAATCTGCTGCTTTTACTAAAGTGCAATGTGCTTAGAGACTAAACCGATATCTTTGTTTTTAAAATATTACTATTACCACATCAAAAGCAACACTAACAACTCATTGTCCTTTATACCTTGTCTCTAACAGTAGTTTGAAACAAAAGTCTTCTTTGTTCTATCAGCACTGTAGGGGGGAGAACTGTTTTAATATAATTAAACATTTTTATTTAAAAATGTTTATTAATGCTATTAGTACAGTTTGATAATACTTCAAAAAGTATCATGTCTTGTTAGGGTCTTCATTTTAAAACTGTAACAGTTCCAATAGATTATTAGAGCTCCGTCCAGCTCCACTTTCTTCCCTTGTCACCTTTCCCATACTTAAACAAATGCTTGTAAGAGTGTTCTTTGTGAAGAAACTTCATCCATAAGGCCCTGCAAATTTTTAGAGTGATTTACCCAAAAAAACAAAGGGGGAGAGATGAGTTTTGCTGAAAGAAGACCACCTTGCTCTGGAGCTAGGACAAGAGCTGATGGTTTCCAAGCAGTTAGTAACAGGGGGGGGGGGGGGGGGCACTTAGAAAAAAAACTATAAAGTGCACGATTGTCCAAAATTGTATTCATTTGCTCTGAAGAACTTGTTGGACTATTGATATTTAATACAATTTGCATTGCATGAAACATACAATCACAATCGGACAGAAAGATTTGTTGTTGTTGTTTCCTGGTGTCATCAACGGGAATTTATTGAATGCAATTCAAGGATAACATACTGCAGCTCTTTGGATAGTGACCGGGTGCCATCCAACAAGGAGGCAGAGGGCTTGTCCTGATACTTTGTTCAAACGCCTGTGCTTTCTAGTTCCCCACCCTCCAGCTCCGCAGTGGCGTGCGATCTGGAAATCATGAAGAGCTTTTCTTTATTTGTATATCGTCTCTGAAGTTGCTGAGGTTGCGCCACTGTTTTTTCTGTGCTGGCTCCCGCTAGGGGGCAGGTCTCCCCTTGTAGGTCCTCCTCACAGTCTTGGGTTTTACTGGCTGGGGTGTTGGCAATAGACTCCAAGGAGGTGCCTGCCTCCTCCACGGGGGTGTAGCCCTTATTGCTGCAGGATGGCTCGGCCTGGGAGCCTCTACTGGCCGCAGGCGGAGTGCAGGGAGGCGAACCGTCCAGATCCAGGGATTTGGAGTAGGTGGAAGAAGCAGCCTTGGTTAGAAGGCTGGAGTCTCGCTCCCTGCGGGGAGCCCGAGTCTGGGGGGGACCAGGGGAGAGGGGCCGCCTGGTGTCCGGTAGGCAGCTGGTGCTCTGGCGCCTCAGTACTCGCTTGGGCCTGCGTCCCGGGGGGCTGCTACCGCGGAGCTCGCTCAGGCTCAGCTCGAGCTCGCCCCGCAGGCTCGCCCCAGCCCTGGGCTCTCCGGACGGCCGCCTCCAGCCGCCCGCCCCCTCGGCCTGGGCCAGGGGCAGCAGGGTGAAGGCGCTGAGCGAGGAGCCCACCAGGGAGCTGGCGGGGCTGCAGGGCGGGGTGGCGGGGCCCGGCGGGCGGGCGGCCAGGGCGGCTCGCTCCCGGTAGATGCTGTAGACGGCCTCGGCCAGGCTGGGCGGGGAGGCGGAGAAGGAGGCGCAGCGGGAGAGCGGGGCGCCCAGGGCCGGGGGCCAGGAGCTCTGGGCCAGCCGGGCCGCGGCGCCCAGGGCTTCCCCGCCGCCCAGCCCGCGGGCCTGCACGTAGCTGACGAAGCCATTGAGCGGGGCGGCGGCCGGGCCCCCGGCCTCCTTGGCCCGCAGGCTGTGCGCGTCGATGACGGTGGAGTAGAGGTCCCGCAGGTTGATGACCTTGGTCTTGCGGTCGCGGTTCTCGTGCAGCACGGCGTTGGCGCAGATGAAGAGGAAGATGCCGATGCCCATGATGAGGGGCCCCAGCACCTTGAGCTTGTCCGAGTGCAGGTAGCCCGAGAAGAGCTGGAAGAGAAACCCCGCCGAGACAGGGGCCGGCGCGGCGCGGGGGGCGCCCCGGCTGCTGGAGGAGGCGTTGGCCCGAGGGGTGTCCGGGTGGGATCCCCCGTGCGCCCCCGGCTGGCCCCTGGAGCGGTTTTTGGCGGCGCCGCCCTGCGCCGGCAGGTGTCTGCTCCCCCCGAAGCTGCCCTCGCGGTAGGCGGGGCTGGGCTTGGGCCAGTAGCCCACCACGGCCAGGGCGATGCCCACCAGCAGCACCAGGATGCCGCAGAGGGCGATGAGCCCCGAGAGGGAGCACAGCTTGAGCTTGCCCTTCACCACCACCACGTCGTTCTTGCGCTTCCTTTTGGCCTTGCGTTTGCGCTTGGGGGCCTGGCTCTGGGGGCGCAGCGGGTCCTGTTTCCTGGCCGAGATCCGCAGGAGGCCTCCAGTGGCGATCATGGCTGGCTCCCCAGGGCACAGCTCCCTGGAGCAGCTCCGGCTCCTGCAGCACAAGGGAGAGAAGAAGGGACAGCGCTGAAGGAGCAGCTCCTCCGGGGGCGCTTCTCAACACCCCACTCCCCCCCAACCCAGGCAGGGCGAGCCGGTTGGCGCTAAAGGCCAGGCGAGAAGGGGCTCAGTGGCGCACGGATCGCCATGGCCAAGCTAGCTACGGTAGGTAACCTGGGAAGACAAGTAGCCCTGGGTCTCTCCCATGACGTTGCTCAGTTCACTTCTTTGCATACAGCTAATTGATTTCTGCAGACTCCAAATGAGTTAAGGAAGGAGTGTGGTGAGCAGTGCGCAGGGGCTGCAGCATCCTCTGGCTTGATCTGGCTTTCCATCATGCACAGGATTTACTGTTTGGTTCAGTGGCTCTCAGTATCACCAGTGGGCACACTGTTCCAGCACTCTTGAACCAGTGCAAACAAATGGGAGATAAGCCGGGCTGGTCACAGAATTGGTCTCCGGGGAGCCTGCTCCCCTGTAAGAGAAAGAGCTGCTGAGATCTGTCCTGGGCCGTGGTCCTCTAATGAGGTCAAAGGGTGACACTGCACAGTGCAGCCTATGGGGGTGAACAGAACTGGTACGCAGAGCTAGTGCCTTTTAGTGATCTGGTTACTCTGAAAATAAAGCCCAAAGGGCCATATGAATAGTTTTAGCCATGCCATTGATTTCATTACACTGCTCTACACTGCTGAGGGATTTTAACCGATTATATCCTTTTTTGGGTCAGTGAATGGGAAATTAATTACTGGAAATGCAGAAGGGAAGCATTTGAATACCCAGATAATAGTACCTTTTGAAAGCTTCTTCCAGATCATTTCCTTCGTATTTTAGCTGCAGTGATACAGAAACCCATCCTCTTCTGCTTACGGTATGGGTACATCATCTGGACAGCTGCCTGATTTGGAAACATGTATGATGTTCAAAGTAACTGGTTATGTAACAACAATGACTCCCCTCCCCCTCCTCCCTTCATGAGAAAATGTAGCTGGTATATAAAGATAACATGTCCAATCTTATTAGAGGAGTGAATCACCATTTTTAAAAATAGAGAGAATGTGTCTGGAAACCGGCAAATGAACTAACATTACTTTATTTACGGTATCATCAGGATTCATCATCTGAGTATTCAAATTGCTCGGAGACAACTAAGAATGAGCAATTTACACGGTATTGCAAACCATTCAGGAAAGCTTAGATATGCTGGAGAAGGGCTTTTCTCTCATTTGGGGGGAAGCGTCTAAAATAATTTCCAGGATGGAAACATGACAGCAATTAATGCAGCATGCTTTCTAAAGTTAAATTCCTTGGTTGGAAAGCTAGTGAACAGCATCTAAAAGCTATCTCGTCCTACCCAGCTTCTTCTAAATTTCTTTTCTGTTCGATTCCCAAATCTGATAGTTGTACATTCCATTGGTTCTTAATGTATTTCCCCTGAAAGTGAGGGGGTATCGCTGAGGGCATTGTTTTAAGAGAATCTACAATATATCTGAGAGTGAATTAATAATGAATGGAGTCTTGCTTCCTCTTTCCTATTGTCAGAGCCTGTAGTTGCTTTTGTTTTAGAATGGTTTGATGCAAAAGTGTAATTATCCGAGCATGATTTCTTTGTCAGCGGTGGCTTAGTTTGTGATCTGGCACTCTCCACTCCACCACTAGACAAGATTCTGTCTCTGTTAAGATGGAAAAACAGATGGCAATCAGACCTGAGCAACGTTTGCAATCAATATTGCCTTGACACTTCGGTTTCAATACGCAGAAACAAGGGTGGATGCGTGGGAGGGGGTTTATTTTAAACCACCAACTATTATTAATGATTGTATTATTAGAAAACAGCCCAAAGTCAAGCAGACTAAAGACATGATATATAATCACATTCCGTATAAACTGGATGTGGTCTGTAATCATCAACAAACTGGTACTTATGTCATAGTGAGCACCACTTAAATAATCCCGAGGATATGGCATGTTTTAACCCGGATCTCAATGACTATTTTAAGGATATTCTGCAAAGACCAAATAGAATTGTTAATCTCACTCAGTCACAGGTTTTCAAACGTACACGCTGGGGGCTGAATTAACATTTTGTTTCCTGGTCACTAATAAGTGAGATTAAGATGCTCCCTTATCTGTTACTGAGCAGTACAAGATGTAGCGTTGTTCAGACTAGTTGTATGCATAGAAAATGGAAGTATACACTCAGTTCGGCAGGGCAATAAAGTGTTGGGAAGGGAATTAAATTGCATCGATTGACCGTTTGCTCAGCATCCCTTAGGATATGCTTTTCCAGCTCGTGGCAAGATGCAATAGATTGGGCGACGCTGAGTAGGGACTAAAGTGTGGTGGCTTGCCACGCTTGGCAGTATTTCTTTCTCCATAAGGGAGTTAGCAAAGTTGCCAGTTGATTTGGGGTGTAGTTTTTCGACGCAGTTTCCAGTGCATCCATGGCTGGCTGGCTGGCAGTCTGCCTATCCAACAAGCTGCCCGCTCGGTAGCTTCTGACAGCACCGCTCGCCAGGTGGGCTGCCAGGTCTTTGAACTTTTGGTCGATTCGCCCCTTGAAGGCTCCGGGCGTGTGCAAACGCCAGCCAGGGGCTCCAAGCCGGCTGGGCACCTACCCCACCCCCAGAGCCATGACTTGCTTTGGCACCCAACCAGAAGCTCGTTGTTAATTCCCAAACCCGGGTGCCCGTTTTCTAGCCGCATGGCCGCGATGGGGCTGTGTGTGCCGCCTCCGGGAAAGTAAGGGGGCCATTCAACGCGGCGCCTGAATTTCTCCAAGGCAGGGGGAAGCCACGTGAAAATCGCCTCCCCCCCAGACTAGGGTGGCAAACCCTTTCGGGCGCTCAAAATGGCAGCGTGGCAGCGGAGCGGCTCGCCTCACTTACCCAGGCAGGCTGGGGGGGAATCCACGCTGGCCGCCAGGAGCTGCGGCACCATGAAGACACCATGGAGAAACTTTCCAGCCCGAGCGGGCATCTCAGCGCGGGCACAGCCCCTCCGGAGCCTTCCGCTGGCGCGGGCTCATAATCCCGGGCAAGAAAGCGGCAGCGATCGCCCGGCTCCTGTCAGCCGCCTCGGCTCCCGCGGACGGAGCCATCCCCAGGAGTTTCCTAGAAGTGCGGAGCCGGCTCCATGCTTCATCCTTCCCCGCGGGCGTTACGCGTCCCCCCCGGCCAGAGGCAGGCGCCGCCGCCTCCTCCTCCTGCCTGTGGTGGTGGCTGCCGGTGGCTTCGCCAGCCTGGCGGAGTTGCTGCTTTCTGCTGCTGCTGCTCTTGAATGGTGCTCAGGCAGCAGCTGCTGCTGTGCTGGCCGGACTCGGTGCTGTTGCTAGGAAACAGGAGCCATGACACAGGGAAATTGCTGCAGGATGGCAATCATTACCCTCCTAACTCTCCTCTTTAGGAACCGTCCCCTCCCCCCCCCTTCTTCCCTCAGCGCTTCCTTGCTCTCCCCCCCTCCCCCAGCCTCCCATGGCTGCCGCCTCTTCCACCCTGCCCACCTGCCAGCAACGAGGGGAGCTGGCTAGCCCGCATCCCCTGGCCTGGCCGCCACAAGCAAAGGGAGGGTGCCATGGCATCGTCTGCTGCCAGCCCCGCGGAGGGTCCCAGCTGGCTCGCTTTCCTGCGCTCTCCTTGCAGAACTACCTGGTCTGATAGACGTGGGGCGAGGGGAGATTAAAGACACTCTCAGACATTGGTTCCTTCTCTTTCTTCCCAGCAAATATTTCACTGGGAGGGGGGAGAATCAGGGAAGCACCAAATGCATCATTTTCTAACGTGCTCCCTTTTGTTGTCTGAACACTTTATTTTTTTTGGTCTGAAGTGTGGCTGAAGACAGTGGGGTGGAGGTGTAGTCTCTTCTCTCCTCTTGTCAACAGCCAGCTCTTGTTCGGTCTCCAGACCCAGGCTAATTTTGTCGCCTTAGTCCTTATAAATCTCAATTCCTTGGGCTTCCTTCCTGAGCAGCAGGCAGAAGGAAAAGTGGGAGGATTTTTGTGTATGTGCACTAGAAATAATATCCAAGTAACTTTGCGGTCATTTTTCCCTTCCTATGCTCTCCCCTGGTGCATGAAACAGGAGAGAGCTGGTGTTTTCAAGATGAAATGATTCTGCTTGAAAAGGGGAGACAGACGCAGGGAGATCGAGAGGACTTCTTTTTGTAACCCTAGAAGTGATCCAAGAAACAGATTAAAAGAGAGAGAATGTAAAAAAGGAAGAAAGCAATATTGTGATAACCATGTTTGAGACTCGGCCTTTATAGAGCCCAGGAAATAAAATTCAGCTTTGAGCATCTTTGGGAAGATATTTGTTAAATTGAAGGTACACAAAGCTGTGTGACTGAAGGGCCCAGAAGACATTCCACTGTGTCTCACTGCAGTGTTTTCCTGACACCTACCATGAGGTAATAGACCCTTGGATGATTGCACTGGGTGTAAATCAGGGGAGAACTTACTTTTTATTTGATGCTCATGGCTGGCTAGAAAGGCAGGTTAAACAAACAGCCAAGTGAAGGTGGAAGTCTCCGTGTCTAATTGGGATTTCACTGATGTTTTATGTTGCAGGGCTTCTGGAACTGAGAGATTGCACCTGCCTTTTTTGTGAAAGTGGCCTGCATGCCTATTCAAGTTAGAGAGGGTTCTGGCCTCTGATCAAACAGCTCTTTCTCCCCCACTGCTGCTTGATCTAGTGTGAGGCATGAATATGTTGCATTCAACTAAGTACAAGTCTCTGTGGGACAATAAAAGGAAAATGTTGAATCTGAAACTGGGATTTAAAGAATCTCAGGCTCTACACAGAATGGAAGAGTGGTAGGAAGAGGTTAAATATGCATTTCTTCAGGTTTTCTCTTTTGAACCCAGCTATGATTGCCTGATTTGAGAATAAACACATTGTGAAGGGGCATACTTCCTATGTGCATTTTCATCTCTGCTGAAAGCTGTATTGCCAAAATAGCTTAGGGCAGTTTCCCCCAGTGCACATTAAACTTTTCCTTCTGAAACAGGGCCTAAATCTAACATTCGGTATTCAAGGGCTGCATTTCAAACTGCACTTTGAAATATTTAATTGAACCTGAGTCTTCTGACATTCAGTAATTTGCTTTGTTTTCAGCCCAGGATATCAGAGGAAACCAAACATATCACATCTGTTTCCACTGGAGACCTGTCTCACATCAATAACACAGCATCACCAGACTCTCCCTGATGAGCCCTTGAGATAGAGAAAAATACAGTTTTTATTGAGAAAAGAGACCAGTTCTTCATCTTTGTCATTGTCAAACCAAACCATTTTATTTATACCTTATCCCAATAGCTTCAACATTTTTGATTCACTAGGCCATCTCCTTGGTACTTAAGGTTTTCAAAAGATACCAAAGGGCATTGTAATCTAGTCCAGGGACTGAGACGAGAAAGGCAGCTAAGCTTTTGATGATCCCAACAATACTATAATAAAGTTGATAAAGTGATACAATAATATAAATGCTAGCTGTATAATCACAAGAGTTGGACTTTGATCTCACATTATATACAGCCCATCCTTATAATCACCAACCTGGCTCCTTATGGCAAATTACAATGCTGAGTTATAAACCAATAAACTACTGTGCCTTCTGGTTTCCTAAGAAACTTATTTAAAACATGGATCAAACATTTACTGTTCCATTTTCTTATTTCATTTGGATGTTTTTTGGGAAGGTGGCTTTTGTACTCCCAGAAGTGATGGATGAGCAGTGGAGGTGGATGGGAAACTTTCTATTGATTTGGTTTGCTATTTGGCTGAGTGAATTTGTAATTGTCTGTGTAATGTTCATACTAATTGCTTAATGCTGCTAGCAGATCTCATGTGTGTTATCCATATACAATTATTTAATGCTTTTGGATGATCATTATGTCATGAGACTAATTAACCTAGAGCCCTTAGTATGAGTATATTTTATTGTGCTTATCTGAATAAATAAACCCGTTAAGGTACAGCTAAAATATATGAAACTCAAGAAGCATAAAGAAAACAGCAAAAATTTCTGTAACCTTACACACCTATGAGAAATACAGCTCTTGGGACTATGTGGTTGATTTAAAATATGTTTGTTTGGATTATGTTTAATGGTTAATTCAGATATCTAAAGCCCACTATTTCAGACAGTCTAACACTATGGAGGCACTGATAGTAACTCCACAGTTAAGATTGCATTGGGATTTGCATCTATAGCAGATCTTTTGATTCATACTTGAATAAGTGTTTTTTTTTTATATTTGGCACATTTTTTCTTCAAATACAATTGCATTTTTAATGTAGTTTTTGCACAGGGAATGTGCAAAAATAGTCCCTCTTCAAAATTTTGCATGTACTCCTCCCATTTGCATTCTTTTAACTCAACACATATGTGGGAATGAGGGTATGTCTACACTACAGGGTTTTTGTTTTTTTTGGAAAAATGGTAATTTTTCCAAAAAAAACTTCAATACTTCCATACTGCAATCGTGTTCTTCCGAAAGAAAATCAAAAGAACAGAGGGGTTTTTCTGACATTGGTAATCCTCATTCTATGAGGAAGAAGCTGTTTTCTGAAAGAGCTCTTTCGGGAAAAAGGCACGAGTGGACAGAGAAAAGAGAGTTCTTTTGAAAGAAGCGGAAAGAGGAAAAAGCACAGGTGTCCTGGTGGCCACTCCATCCTTAGTAATTACAGCTGAACTGCGAGACAGCGTCCATTCAATGTGGATGCTATCTTTCGAAAAAGCAGATCGCTTTTTCGATGCGCTTTTGCAGTATGGACGCTCTCTTTTGGAAAAAGTTTTTCTGGAAGATCTCTTCTGAAAAAAGGTTCTTTCGAAAGAAGTCTGCAGTCTAGACATAGCCTGAGTGAGCGAGACCACTTGATTATTTGTCCTATTCATCCTTCTAGGGCACCTGGCATTGGCCATGCTGGAAGGCAGAATACTGGGCTAGATGGGCCTAGTATGGCCATTCTTATGTATATGAATATTTATTTGTACTGGGCTAACAGATATGGGCTCCAGTTATGGATCAAGGTCTCATTGTGCCAGGAGCTGTACAAAGACATAATAAACAGTTGTTCATAACATGCTTTACACTCTTTGTATGAGATGAATGTAAAAGTAAAAAGATAGAATGGAGAGATAAATGTCAGGCTTCAGCTTTCCCCAGAGTAACTCATGTGTAATTACAGTCTCTGAGGGTGCGTCTACACAGCAGGACTTAACTCGAAATAAGCTACACAACTTGAGCTATGTCAATTGCGTAGCTTATTCTGAAATAGCTTATTTTGAAATTGGGAGCATCTACACAGCACTTACTTTGAAATAGAGCACTCTTCCTCTGACCTCCCTTACTTCTCGTACAATGAGGGTTACAAGAGTCGAAGTAAGAAGTCCTCAAGCTTGACAGTATTTCGAAATTATTTCAAAATAACAGCCTGCTGTGTAGACGCGGACTATGTTATTTCAAAATAACAGTAGTTATTTCAAAATAATGCTGCTGTGTAGACATAGCCTGAGACACAGACCTCCTGACTAGGAGAGGGCCATTCCTAACTCAAGCCCTGGATTGCAAAACTAGCAAAGTGCCAGATGTACGGGAAGGATGCCACTTCTCTGGAATGAAATTCTGGGTAGCTTCTAGCCACATCACTTATGTTCACTTAAAAACTCACTGTAATGGTTAATATAATTGGTGGTATATTTGATATATGCACTATAAAAAAAGGCTGTATCCATAGTGTACACACACTTTAATGATACATAAATTAATAATTCAAAGTATTGTTGAAATCTAAGGATTTGTCTATCCTGGATAAATTTTCCCAATTATATTTACATAGCTATGCCTGTATAGCTATAGAGGTGTAATTCACCCCACCCTCCATCTTCACACTCTAATTCTAATATAAAAGTGGCTTTCAGGGTTTAGCTTAAGCCACTTCTGATGTTACATAAAATGAACATTAACAACAACAACAAAGAAAAGAGGCACTCTTACTGGAATAAGGGTATCTATATGAGAACTATACTGATGTAATTTAAGGTGTGAATTTAAATGGAGAAAACCTTCCTATGTAGACAAAGGCTAAGATAAATGGGGAAACCAAGAGTGCATAATGCTGGTGAGTGTGGTGTAATGGATATGATTACAAACTATGATGATCTGGTAGTTAAAATACAAAGGAGCAAAGCACAACTAGGGGTGAATTATATACCAGTAATTTCATCCTCACAGAAAATATATGTATAAGCCTTCATTGCCCTATATCAGATGCTTGTAAAGCACCCTCATTGTACCTGACAGTACTTATCTGAAGTGTTTAGAATCAGAAGTAACTTTATTTTTCATTGTCTAGGAAGCCTTGGTATAATTCACTGAGAGCGAATAGCAATTTACATGTCTGT